CCAACTGGTGAGTGGACAAAGATGTGGTTTTTTCATCCAGTGGGGTACTACTCTGCCATAAAGAAGGATTCACTAGAGATGTTTCTAGGAAAATGGCTGCACCTTTCATACTGTACTTTTTAAAGCATTTCAACATGCTGTTCCTTTAAGGTTTTTCCCTCATTTCTTTAGCAAATCTCTTGAATTATAATCTGTTACTTATTATTGAAGAAAAAATTCTTGAAGTGTTTTTCCTTGTTTTTTATTCCTCTCAAAATATCCCTTGCCCTATTTCTATGTTATTTTATTATCTCAATTGCAAAATCTTGTGTCCAATTTAACATTTCTAATACTTATTTTGTCTTTATTCTACTACAGTTATAGCCTCACTGCCTACTATTGTTTGAAGTATGTCACTCCAAAACTCATATAGTGAAATCCTTTTATTTTTATTTATTTACTTTTTTTTGGTACTGGAAAACGAACTTAGGACCTTGCGCTTGCTAGGCAGGTGCTTGTGCCACTGAGCCATATCACCAGCCACATCTGTTGAAATCATAATCTTCAGTATCCCAAATGTACAAATAGGTTCTTTAAGCAGGCAAGGAAGAAAAATAATGTTGTTAGTGTGAGCTCTATTTAAGTATGACTGACATTGTTAGAAGAAGTGGAAAAGGGCATAGACACACAGAGAGAAGGCTGGGAGGACTCAGAGGGTGCTGGCCATCTGCAAGCCAAGAAGAGTTCAGCTCTGCCAGCACTGTGGTCCTGGCCTTCTATCTTCCAGAACTGTGCAAAAAATAAGCTTCTGCAGTGCAAGCTAGTCTGCGGCTGTACATGATATTCATCATAGGAAATCCACATACTACCCTACAGATAATGTAAATATGTAGAACAGATAATGTGTTTGTTTTATCCAAGGCCTCCTGAATTGGGCACAGTGATAGAACTAAGTCAGGGACTTTCAAGTAAGATGGAAGTGAGCTTAAATTTACTGGTATTCAATGAATAGTACTAGACCTTTGGGCAATGTTTAAAATCTTCCTGAGCCTCAATCTTTAGACCTTTAAAATGGGTAAATCTTTTGTAAATGGGAAGGAGAAAAGGAGTCAAGGAGGAGGGAGAAGTGGGGGAGACAACAGAAAAGATGAAGGTGCTATGTGCACGTACCAAATCCCCACGATAAGCGGAGTCATCTTGCACTGCAGACTTGTACTGGTAAAAGTAAAATCTTGGAATGAAAGCATAATGAGATGGACACACAGTGCATGTAGAAATGAGTGCTGTGTTTGCAGTGAGAGGAGTGGAGGAGAGAGGAGATTACTCACTGCAAAGGCCCCCACTCCCCTGGGCTCTTCAAAGCTCAAAGACTCTCTTTTGCTAGTTTTTCCAGGTTTTTTTTCCTCTTGTTTCTTTCTCTGTATGTTTCAATTTTCAAATATTTTCCATCTTCAAAAATACTAAAAACTTCAAATTCTTCTTTGACCCCACGACCTTCTCAGGATTCCCATTCTCTGCTTCTTATCTTGTTAAAACTTTTCAAAAAGTGTTCTTCAGAATCCATTCCAACCTGGCCCCTGACTCTTTCCTTTTATTGAATCTGCTGTTGCCCAGTTCACGACCACCTCAGCTGTTCAGATCCCTCTTCATTTTATTGAACTCTTAAAAGCATCGATATACTTGATCACTCCCTGCTTCTATCTATCCATCTCTCTATCCATCTATCCTCTATTTATCATCTATCTATCATCTGTCTATCTCTCAGCTATCTATCCATCCATCTGTCGATCTATCTATCCATCTATCTATCATCTATCTATCCATTCATCTATTTATCTATCCATCTATTTATCTATCTATCTCTTTATCTCTACATGATTTTTGTGACTTAATATCCCTGCTTCCCTCTTTCCTGACTAGATAGTGACTCTCACTGTTCTTTGCTAATTCATATTTATCTAGTCTTTTCTCCCTCAATATACAGGCCCACCATGCTTTCTAGTTGCTTCTGATGTGAATCATCTTTGATTCCATCTTAGAAAAAATTATTAGCTGTGTTGATATCATCACCTAGTTTGCTGACAAATCCTACTGGTTTTTACTACTAAAGCAAGGCTTCTGTCTTCTCCCTAGCAATTCTCTTGTGACTTCTATTGTTTATAACTTTTAAATATATCCACTTCCTTAAAATTGTTTCAATACCTAGGTACTACGGTAGGGATAAGTGTTCCCAAAGGTCCATCTGTTAAAGCATGGTCCTCACCCATAGCGCTTTCTGGGCTGTGTGTGTGCATGCATGTGTGTGTGGTGGGGGTGGAACTTTTGAGAAGTGAGCTCTAGAATGGAATCTTTAGCTTACTAAGGACTGGCCTGTGAACAGAATTATTTGACCCAGTTCTCTTTCTCTTCCCTGTTTCCTTCACAGCCAAGGACGTGGTTTTGCCCCTTCATGCGTTCCCAGTGTGAGGTGTCGCCTCACTACAAGCCTCAGAGTGACATGGCAACTGGCTGTGAATTAAAGCTTCAAAGCCATAAACCAAAATAAATCTCTCCTGGAAATGGAAAACTGATGAACACGCCAGACTAAAATTCTTTACAATCTTTCCATTGTACTTAGAGCTCTGCTGATCTCTTCCACATCATTTTGTACCAGGTTCCCTTTGTTACAGATTATATCTTTCCAGAGTTGAGATAAGAAAGCACTTCCCTGCCCTGGAATCTTTCATTTCTTCTTCCCATTTCCTGAAGCTCATTCCCCAAAGGCTGGCTTACAGCTGGCTCTTTTTGGTAATGTCAGCGGCAACCACAGCCCTCTTCCTCGGAGAAGACAACTACAAGCCTCTCTCAACTGAAACCGTCTTCCAAGAAAATCTTTATAAGTATACATTTTAAATCATATGCCTAAATAAATTTTGTATTTACTAATTTTTCTTTCCTGATTTATATTTATTTCTCCCACCACTACCGGAATGTAAGCACCTTTCTGTCAAGGCCTTTGTCTTATAACTGTGTGCTAAGAACAGTGGCATGCATTTATAAAAATATTACATTAATAATCAAAACTACAACCTCAGAAAGCTACTGAGATGAGTACTATTAATGACTGACAAAAAGGAAGTCTTAGGAGAGAGTAAACAGCTTGGCAGAGATCACATGTCAGATTTAGAATTCAAAATGAGGCATATCAGATTTTTAAATCTGTGATCGTAATCATATGATTTTTTTCCTGCTAGTCTCCTGATTTCTGACTTTCTGATTTATTCTCTGCCCCTCTTAGATCTAATGTTTGGTGCTATTTCAGTGGTTCTGACCTTTGGCTCTCTGAATAGTTATGATGAGGACCTTTCCTACTGTCATATTGCTTTTGCCTGCCTTAGAATTCTACTGTCATATTCAATGTTCCGCACTGCCTCCTGGGACCTTCCATTCTGCACCTATCCTTGTACTCTGCAACCAACTGTACCTTGGGGCTGCTCACCCACTCTGTGCCCCCATTTCCTTATTGTAAGTTAGGAATTTTGATCAAGGTCTTCAAATTCTCTTTCAGATTTAAGAGTTCAGCAAAACTGACAAAAACTTGCATTTCTTTCTTCTGCCTATGGGACTTTTAGGTTACCAATATTTTAATTTGAGCAGTTTCCCTAAACTAAAAATCCATTAATCCTATAAGAATTGGCAGGTTTTCCACATTGTTTCAACATGCTTTGGTTTATTAATTATAGTACATGACTTTTTTATTATTTGATAGAATATCCTTAGATTAATGTTTTGCTGCACAACAAAATGTTATTGGTAACCTCTCAGGTGGCCGCTTATCTCCGAATTGCCAATTACATGACACTTTACTGCATGACTCCTACATGCCACAGTGTGTGTTAGGTATCAGAGAAAATCAAAGCATAGATCATGTCTACAAGAAGTTCTAGATTTTCTGAAAGAGATGGATAAACCCATGAACCAACCTAAAAAATGTTGCTCAGTCTAAGAGCTAAATATAATAACAAGGAAAACATATGTGGGAACATGGACAAATATGACTTTAATGATATAATTATTACTTGGTCTAGGATATTCATTTTCTTTCAGATGAAAATGTTAGAGAGCATTATAAAACCTGGCCACACTCCAACAATGTGAAAAGAAATCCACAGAGAGTCAGGTCCCCCTCTGCCATCCCATCTGATCATGAGAGTGGAATTGAAGAGATTTCTCTGTTACCTGAGCTCTGTTGCTTCCAGGACCCTGAGGTTTTTGCTTTTCTGAGCAAAGCATCAGCCTTGCAGCCACCAGTAGGGAAGCAATCTGCTGTTCATTCCTGAAGCTTCAGGGAGCTGTCTTGCTCCCACCCTTCTGTTTGGACAATTTCTGTGCTGCCAAGTTGGCAAGGTGCCTGGTTTGAGGGATGTGGGCGGGGTACCTTTGTCAGGAGGGTAGCTCGAGAGGGCTCGGGGAGAAGAGAGGAAGTGAAGCATCACTGGCAAATCCAGCCAAGCAGTCACTGCAGGAGATACAGTGAATCTGCAGTTTGGGAGGAAGGCAAGCTAGACACTCTCAGAATGTATTGCTTCAGATTTGCACCTAGCTGGGATTCCCATGCACTCAAAAGACAGACGACGAAGAATTACTGAGGAATTACCCACACTCTAGAGCATTTGGAGAGTGCAAAATAAAAGCATTGTGTAAGCTTTTAAAAAATCCTCTCATACTCTGCCCTCACTATGAGAGATTCTTTCCACAACATCTTGCAGAGAATAAGGTGTAAACTCACATTCCTCCTTCGAGGAAGGCAGCCTTTCCTTTTTCCGTATCCTACCACACCAAACTCCTGTACTGTTTTCTCATTACCAAAGCATTTCCTCATTGACACCTTTGCATTCAAATCCTTAGCTTAATGTCTCCTTCTGAAAAAACAACAGACCACCCCAATTCGCTAGCTTTTACATGATAGCTTGTGTCACATTTGATAGACATCCATGTTTTCATTCAATAGACACATAATTTATGAAGAAGTGTCAACAAACCTGTCAACAAAGGCATGATGAAGAAGAAAAATGGGATCGTTGGCCGATCCTTGTACTTGGGACATGGTTCCGTTCATATAGATGTGCAAAGCATTGTGCATGCTGCTTTGTGAGGCATCTGCGATTCCGGTAATGGGGCTAGCAAATCCTGTTGGTAAAAAGTAATTGAAAAACATTTAGTTTACCTAATAAAAGTTCAAATGATTATTTTATTTGGCTTAAAACTACAAAAGAAGGCCTGATTCAAAATAAAATCAATACAAAAATGCATTGGGCTTTGGGATTCTTTACATTCTACATACTTACTTAGTATTCAATAAATCTTTGTGGAGATGAGTGGTGTTAGTTTGGGTATAACCAATGGACTAAGCAGATGAAAGAGGCTGAACCAACTTGTGCTTCCACTCTAGCTTCTATGTGTTATTCCTCATTTCAATGTCTGGGCCTTGAGGAAGCACTAAATTTGTGACTTTCTGTATGGTAATTTATCTTTGACAATCCTAGGGCCACAAGTCATACTGTGTTTAACACTGCAAAATATTCATTTTGTGATTAAATAAATTTATTCTCAAAGACCATACCAAATCCTGATTTCTCTGTAAGGTACCCTAAGAACATACATGTCTCTCCTCATGGGACTTTCTTGTATATAATAACTTTTGTAAATGAATACATTGACACTTGCTGTGCTGGCAGCTTTCTAAGAGTTTAAAGCAATTACCTGCATATAATATTCAGAATGAGCCTACCAATTAGGTGTGTACTTTATCACAGATTTGAAAAATAAGGACTTAGGGCAAGGAACATGTGTAAGGTTGAAGAAAGAGTAGGAGCTGTTGAACAAATTCAGTTTGGTTATGCAGTTTAATCTCTTAAATGCAATAATTTTCTGCCTTTCCTATGTAGTAATAAATCATATGTCATTGAGGGCAACATTCTTATAGCAATAATCTTCAAGTTTTTATCTTTGAGTAGCACTTAAATAGAAGTTTTATAGTAACATTTTATGTGCACTCTCCCATGCTTTCAAGTAGGTTCCAAATTCTCTTAACCATAATTATAAATAATTTCACAGGACATAAATTGTTAACATTAATTCAAATATGCAGGAATGAAGAGTTTTTGTTAGAAGAATAACATCAGTAAAAATTCTGTTCAAAACTTTTAAAAAATTACTGAAAAAGTGTTTTCATGAGTAAAATAAAACATGTGAATAAGAAGATTTTTATAAGAATTTTACTTGACTACTTCAACTCCTCTTGAGTAAAATATTTAAAAGATTACATAACTCAGGATAAAAATTAGCTTTCAATACCTAATCCCTGAATGACAACTCAACCCAGAATTCTTTGATGAAAGCAGCATTGTATATTATGAATTTATTCATAAACTGTCCAACTGGTGAGAAGTCATTAAAATCATCCATTTGACAATATTAGTGCTTATAATTTTGAGTTCCTTGTATGTTTGGCACTCTGGAAGTTTTTGCCCCCTCAAGGAATACACTATATTGAAAATGGGTATGCTTGTCTTCTAAACTGTTGGAAAGGAAGCTTGTGAAAGATGAAGTGAGGAAAGAGAATGTTCAAGAATCCAAACCACATTTATTATAGAAAGCATAATTTGGTTTGTTTTTCCATAGTCAAACCACAATCTTTCATATCTCTATATTTTGAAGGTAAATGAATATGAGCTACCTCAAAATCCTTTCTTTATATATCCAAAAGAGGTCCGGACTAGAAAGAATACATTTTTTTCTCTACAAAACCTACTTAAGACACCTTCAGAGAGGTCTAAAATTGTTCTTGTCAACTGATAAAACAGAGAAAATATAGCAGATCCAAGCCATATATAAATATGTGAAGAGATAATTTTATATTTTCCTTCTCTAGAGTTCATATTTTTGGTTGGTGAAATTACCTCTAAAAAGAGAAATGGCTACACCAAGATCAGTTGCAGAGATCTTGCTCTTTTCTGGAAGAAGTCCCAGAGGGAATTTTAGGTACTTAATCATAATAATAATTACACACATTTAGCTTTCCAAATATCTTTCATGTACATAATGTCGGTTGAATCTCAGGGCTACTTGTCATAAAAATATTACAATTTTTCCAAGTTTAGAGACAAAAAAACTTCAGTTTATAGAATGTACATAAAATTATAAATTCAAATTAGTAATTGGAGAATCAATGAATTAAACATAATTCTGACTGATTCCAAAATCTGTGCTTGTGCTCCTTTCTGCAGAGGAGAATTGGATAATGTCCGCACTAACTTGCTGACACACTTGGGAAAGTGCTTTTTCTATGTTCCCAAAATAAATCTGTGGACTTGCCATTTTCAAAATCCATTGAGTTATAAAATGTGCACACACAATATGTTATCGTCTCACCCTTGTTCAGAGATTTCCCATGCACAGAGAGTCTAATAACCCAGGAGGGATCTTGTTAGCAGTCACAAATGACAAAATGGCTCAAACTTCTTTGTGAAGGGCAGTGAGTGCACTGATTTTAGTCAGTGTCATGCCTGTTTGTGTTCTACGTTACACATGGCTTCAGATGGGTGACAATAGGAAATCACAATTTGTTGATCTGTTTTGTTATTTCTCTTTTATTTCTTCCCCAATGCTGCTCTGGAGAATTTCTGTCTATATGCCCTTTTTAATAGCTATGCTCATCTCTGGTACCTGATTTGGATTTAATTGGTATAAAATGTAATTCAGGCACTTAAAGTTTTACAACACCCCAAATGATTCTTATGTGCAACAGGGGCTGAAATTCACTGAATTTGGCTAAATTGCTCTGCATCTTCTCAATCTGAACTCATGCTTCAAAGACTTTATCTCTGAATATATTATTTCCTTTGTGGGAAGTTTTCCTCTCCTATATTTTGGCAGCCTAAAAAACATGTTTGTACCTTGAAAGTCTCACACCACAAATTCATGCTGTGAAATATTTTCCTATGATGAACTACTAAAACTTGTCTTTCTAAAACAATATTAAAAATTGAACAACTCATATGACAGCACTGACTAGCCATTTTCATAAATATTGAAAATAATTTAATTAGGTATCCTTTCTAGGAGGATGTGGTATAGATGCTGCACTTTTATTATGCCTACTAGACTTGGAATGTGAAAAGATGCAATTAACCCTTCAGGAGAGCAGAACACATTTAATTTATTTAGTATAATTTGGTTTCAACTTTGGTTTTCATCTCTTTTCAATATTTCATGTAATTCAGAGATAGAATTGGAGAAAAAGCAAAAAATATAGAAAATACATATTAGTGTGTCTAAAATTCAAAGGAATCTTAGACGCTTTGATTTGTACTTGCACTAGTTACTTTCCTACTGTGCAATTTAACTGAGGAAATATAAAGTATATAGCTTTAGAATCATACAATAAATTTAGGAGATTGTATATAATTACTGAAAACCTTTAAAAGATTCATGATTTAAACTACTTACAGCAGAAACATAAAATTGGATACCCCAAAACATCTTGGTTCTAAGCAAGTTCTTAGGTGTATTGGAAGGATTAGCTTTCAGTCAACTTCCATTTTTGTCACATAAGGTGCTAGCATTATAGCCATAGATGTAATTGATTAACATTTTTGTTTATTGGAAAATGCTTTTAGTTTGACTCAGGAGAGTCCTTCAATTGTGAAGGCAGTGAAGCAAATGATATGGCTTCCAATTTTTTTTAAATTTTGCTGTACAATTTTTAAACAATGGCTGTGGTCACAGGTGCTCTATAAATTTTGTAATTTTGAAACATGTGATCTCAGAGCCAACAGTACCACCTATAAACTTGTTAGAAACTCAAAAGCTGTAGCCTCGCAGAAAGCTATTGAATCCCAAAGTGGAATGGAACTCATCACAGGTGTTAACAAATCTTGCAGGTAATTGTAACGCACACTCAAGTTTGAGAAACACTTCTAAACTGTTGTCATTGCACAAGGACAGTGGCACTAGATCATCATCAGTCATAGTTATATGTCTATAAGGTCAAGAAAGAAATTCTTCCTATATTATCTATAATTGTTTATGATTGCAAGCATCACATTAACTTCTCCACTTGGTACCTTCACTGTTTGTATGTGCATAATCATTTTCTTTACATGAAAATTATGAATACACAGTATTTGCAAACTTGTGTATTTTCCAGTGACTGTTCAGGTTTCCTAGATCTTATCACCAGCCTATGAAAATATCCCTAATGTGATGTTACACAGAATAACTAATGATCTATTTATTCATTTAAACATTTTTCTTGAAACTTATTTTAAAGAACAGTTTTATAATGACTTTCAGGATTCTCAGATTATTTTTGTGTGATTGAGAAGACTCAGAAAGTTGGAACATTCAGCAAAATCATTCCCAAAATCATTAAAATAAGCAAAGATTTTTGTAAAAAGGTACTGTTCAGACCCCATTCTATTCCATAGTCTTCAATTATCATCGAAATGATAGCAGTTAGTATGTGCACCTTCTTTCATACATTATGCTGAAACTCTGTAAACGTACTGATGCTAATGCTAACTATTCTTCAAGGAGAGATGGTTGAACATCCCTGTCTCAGTTTGCTCAAGGCTGATCTGGTTTTAGCCCTAAATTCCTGTCCCCTAGGTAAGTATGGCTCATAAGGATATAAATAAGTGTTCATTAACCAAAACTGTTAATATTTGACTTCCTGTTCTCCTGTTGCAGACTTGAAATCCTTAATATTTTGTAAAGAGGTGTTCCGTATTTTCATTTTAGACTGGGCCCTGAAAATTATGTAGCTGGTCCTGGAACTGGTCTTAGAAATTCCAGGATCAGACAAAGAGGGATGGTTAGTCACTCTAAAGTAAAGAGCTGTCATAACAGGTACAATCCAGTTTCTAGCGCATTACTGGATCTTCTCCACTGTGACTCAGTTCATCAAATTTCCATATTCTTTTTCTACAAATGAAGACACAGAGCTCAAGGAATCTGGCTGACATATTAAAGATTACAAGTCTTTTAGGTGGCAATGTCAAAATTCTGTTATCAATGTTCTTATTCTAAATCCAAGAATGTTTTCATTATACCATTCATATTTTCTTATCCTTCCTATCTATACATTTGAATAAATGAATATTGTTGTAGATTTATAATGAGAACAT